TTTTACATGAAGGGACAAACCCTCCCTTCCGCAGTTTGATCAGGCTGTCCCTTTCCACCGGCTTCCACTGGCTGATCATTGAGGCGAACAAAGACCAGAACTGCTCTGTTTGCCTCTATGATATAGGGAAACCGGAAGCGATGACCTTACATCTCTTCTGGTTTATCCGGATCTAAGTGGTACCACTTTTAAAAATGAAAGCATTTAATCACACTTGGTATGATCAAATGCTTTTAAAGACAGAGTAGAGATCTCTCCCCTGTGCTCGCAGACAAAGGCAATCGAATGCGTCGGGTACACGCGCACACAAACAGCGATAGTCCCACACAGGTGAAGCATCATTGCAAACGTCAGATCATGGGCACTAATTCTAGCACCTGTTAAATAGGTTTGTGAATGCACCCCAATCCTTGTAGGAGTATTTACATGTACACAGCTAGATCTGAGAGTTCCTATACAAAAGAGGTAGTTCAATCTGCAAAATACATTTATTGATAGAGGTACATAATATATACAAATTACACACTAAGCAGTATTTACAACACAATGTACAGTTTAAGTCTCTTGACTTATACGATATTTACAATGTATTCATAAAACCATGTTTAAAATACAATGTACAATACAGGTAAAAAGTTAGTTACCTCTCAACTTCAGGCCTGCTCATGCTGCCTGCTGGGCGTCCCAGCACAAAGAGATCTCCAGCTGGATGACCAGGCCTTATATCCCCCCTCCTGTCTGTACTGTGGCTAATATAATGCTCACTAATTGGACACTGTACCTAGCCAATGTATATTGGGCACAACCCGATTGGAAGTTCAAAGGAGGCTGCTGTTTACTACTCATGTGAGATATGCTAAGTGGACAACAAAAGGCCAGAACTTCTACAGTGGAAAACTCTATATACATCCACACCAGCATGGAAGCCAGAAAGCCTTGATGCTGCAAAACACTCAATGGCCCAAATACTGTACATTTCTATCTAACCAAAATATACTTGCAATTACAACACCATTTACATCCATTAATGGAGATTTCACATAAACTCATTATCTAACAGTCCGCCCCTTGTGACCAGTGAAACTAGGCCACACCTAAAATAATGATTTATGTGTAATCTTCTTTAATATTCAGAATTTTAATGTTACCTTCTGAGTAAAAAAAAATCTCTTTGAAAAGACTCTTTAAACTCATCTCTACAGTCCACATTTCTGGATCTCAATATCTGTAGTTCATAACTTGTGTTGGATGTAATAAGTCCATATTAATAATAAGAGACAAAGCCGAAAAACTGAGGATCTTGTTTCTCAACAGTCCCATAATATTAAGTCCATAATGCTGTTTTGATCATGTTGCACTTGCTTCTGTGACATCCTTCCATGGCGATTTTGCTTTGGTATACGTATGCTTTATTATTGTGGGCACCAATATAATACTGGAAAACACAGGTTTCCTGAAGAGTACTTGTAAGACAGATTCATTCAAAGTGATGTTTATCTAGTACTTCTGATTATTATGGACCGTTGTTGGCAATTGCTATAGATGTACTGTGACATACTCATGAGACCCTTTTACATTGCCACATTAACAATTTGGATGGTTATCACCTTCAGCCAGTATCTCCGGGTTAAAAACACTCTCTGTCTCCTTCCATTGTCATAAGCCTGCAAGTAATTTCCCACCTTTTGCTGATGCCCACTGTGTGTATATGACCCTTCACGTCTCCATTGGGGATCCTGTTGCCATCGCAACTCACCACTGTATGCTTTTACTGGAATCTGCGTCCAGTTATACAAACCCTGATGGGCTAAATCCTTCGCTGGCGTCGAACATTTGTGCACTGAATTCTGTCCTTGGCTACTGGGTGTAGCTAATGTATGAGCCATGCCTTTAGCAGGCTAAGTTGAGGTCATACTTTTAGCAGGCTAGGGAAGAGTTCCCAGAGCAGAGTAGGCAGTGTCATATAAGCAGACCAAATAACTTAATTTCAGAATACAGGGAAGTGTGATGTCACCTGTTGTGGCTTCAGGAATAATCCAATTAAACTACACTTAAGTACAATTGTACTATACTATACCTGCTAATGGCCAATCACTATGAATCTCATCTCAAGTCCCAGTATATCTATGTGATACTCAAGCAATGCCTTTTGAACTTCGTTATGGCAACAACCAACAAACAGAGGGAAAAAAAATGACCGCATATGAGGACTGATAGATTCTAGGACTGTAGAGAGGACTTCATGTGAGATGTAGAGATACTGTAGAATGGATACACAGCTGTTTCTTAAACCTGGTGTTACTTTTGTTGTAGTTGGAATAGTTAAATGACAATAAGGGAGCTTCACTACATTTATATAAAACCGTTATTCGATGTTGGAAGAGAAAAAAAAATGCTGGGAATTCACTTAAACACACAAAAATGCTGTAAGGGAGCTTTAATATTCTATATAAAACATAAAAAAAAATGTTCTCCCTGTGCAATTTCAAAATGTTCTCCATATAATGTTCTCCATATCCCCCTCCTATTTTTTTTTTTATTTCACCATAGCCAAGCCAGACAACTTAAGAAGCACCCAGGAAGAGAAATTGTGCTAAAAGGATAGACAGAAAAAAAAGAGCAGAAAAAATAATAATAAAAAAAAAATAACAAAAAGGTACAGATTTAATGCTGACTCAACATGATATTTATCCTACACCTTTCTCATTAACTTGTTAGTGAGCATTGAATCTGTATTTGGTCTCCAAAACAAAATGCAAACTGCATTACAAAAAAAACATTTCTGTTATACAGTGACTTAGCACAAGCCACTCCTCTATTATAGTGAGTAAATTGATCCATTTTAAACTCACTTTACAAGGCAGGGTCACAAAAAAAAAAAGTAGAGAGAGGAAAAAAAAAACACCTTTTATTTTAGAGTTTTAGTTTTTCCCGACTGCCATTAATTAACTGTAATTCAGAGGCTTCTCCTTAAAGCAAACATGTAAAGTTTGCTATGCTTTAAGGTCCTCTTTTCCAAGTATTTTGCTTAGTCTGGGTCAGGTCTGTATTATCCGTTGATGTTCTAGTATTTTTCCTAAAATACAAAACTTAGAAACCATTAATAACCCCTCACTCAACCTCTGAGAGGTTCCCAATGACTAAACTAATAGTGAATGCTTGGAACTAACTTCCAGCAGAGGTAATAAGTCAATTTGGAAGAGAAAAAAAAAACCACATACATACTAAATCGACAAACTATCATCAAGAGCAAAATAATATATTATCATGTATTTTCCCAGTGTTAGAGTGAATGAAAACTTCACTCTGAGCCCCAGGAAAGAAAAGGAAAAATAAAATTCCTACATTTTCTGAGTTATTGTTGTTAAGATGTTATATCTGTGCACAGGTTCATTAGCAGATAATGTTCTCCATATGACCTCCTCTATAAATCTACAATGGTAACCTTTAGCCCTTTCCCTGCCAGAGCCTTTTTTGCACACAATTATGTCAGGCTTAAGATTACACAAACCCCCCCAAACATTATATATTTTCTGAAAGCAGACTCCCTAGAGAATAAAATAGTGATAGTTCCAGTTTTTTATGTCACACGTTATTACCGCAAAGGTAAAATTTCAGTACAAAACACACTAAAGTGAATTATAAGGTAAACAAACAATAAATCACCCACATTTTTGATCAACTAAAATAGAAAGATGAAGTTGCATCGAGATACCCAACATGCCAAAACTTTAAATTTGTGTGTGCCTATGAAATGGCGACAGACTTCAGTAACCTATATTTTCTATAGGTGGCGCTTCAATAGCCCCTATAGTTTAGTGTTTAGGAGGTTTTGTGCTAGAATTATTATGCTCACTCTGGCATGCGCGGCGATATGTAACATGTATATTGCCATCATCTTTTTCACACGTAGGCCCCCCAACGTGTGCCTTTACATTTATGTGTATGTATTTGTTTTTGCTTAACTTTCTTTTTTCCCATCACATTGGGGGAGGGGGAGTGGCATTGCTACCAGGGGCTGTGGAAGTGATCCAGTAGAAGCGCAGCCATCCGACTGCTTACACCTGACAGGCAGGAGTCTTGGAGGGGTCAGTTAAATGGGCACCAAAGTGATGTGGAATTTCCCTTAATGATGAAATGTTTTTGGTCACCTGTTAACACTTTTGCACAGCCTGCAGGCTGAATATTTATGAAAAGTAAACTTTACTTTCTACCAGTGCTCAAAATGGACCTCTATCCAAAAGTGAAGTATCTACCTCTCCTACCCTCTTGTTTGAGAAGATTACTGCTAAATAAAAGGTCAACTTTAATTGCATACACCATTCTAAATGCTCATGCACACTGGACATTTTTACAGCTGCTGTTTTTGGCTTTTGGCATTTCTTTCTACAGCCAGTAAACTCCCCAGCATGTTATCCTATGTGTCCATGCACATAGACTGTAATCAGTGTTTTTTGGCAGGGGCGGTTTTTGGCTGGAAAAAAAACCCAGAACTAGTTGTGTTCTAGAGGAGCTTTTTAGCTGTAAAAACGCTCTAACGCTGAAAAACGCAGCAAACCGGAGTTTTTGGACGTTTAGGTTTTTTTTGGCAAAAACAGTGAAAAACCGCTAAACACTAATGTAAAAATGCTAAAAGAAGCTGAAAAACTGTACACAGCTAACATTACCAGCGTTATTAAAATGCCCATTGAGCATGGAGTCTTAAGATGAGAACTTGACCTGACATACTTCATGCTTATTTCTTTGATGGTTTGTTAACAATGACAGACCATGACACAACTGTCAAGTGATTTTCCTGAAGACTCTCCTTTTTTGCCTGGCCACATTTTTCTCAGATGGAGAAAGCACAGTACTGGCTAGTACTACACTTAATGATGTCTCTTTGTGACAGTTTGTTTATAAACCGGCTAAACACTGTGGCTTTCTATTGCTTGTTATTATAGAGGTGTTAGTATAAACATGTCTTATATAATGAGTAATGTCTGTTTTCTTTTTAACAGTCATAAATCTAAAGTCAAGGGAAATCTTAGGTTAAAAATGAGTTACTTACCGAAAAGCAGTGGATCAGAGGAAGAAAATACAGAGCAAGGCGAAGAGCTGGAGGTTGGTTTCATAGCTTTAGTTATATATTTGCATTTGCATATTTGAATATTTGATACAGAGCTCTTAAAATTAAATAAAATTAAATTAATTTTAATAAAATTAAATTCTGTTGTTTTTTTAAACACATTTCTGTGATCATGGCTTTTCTGTTATGATTGCAGCAAGCTGCTAATGTACTGTATATTATAAAATCACACATCCTTTTGGCAGAGCAGGAATTTATTTGTAGTACACACCAATTCTTGTACTTTTGAATGATTCATGACTGTATCAGTAATAGAAATATTTAGTACTGAGAAATTAGAAAAAAAATTAACAGACCATTAACATATTCTCTAAAGCAGTTGCTGAAAGTGGAGTAACTTTACAAGTGTGTATGAATAAAATCTTGGCAATATACAGCAACATAATCATTTTTCAGAAAAAGCTCCACCTGTTGTTGTTATTAAAAAGCTGTCCTTGAGCTGCAGTCAGTGGCTTTGTCTAAGCTGAGATGATGTCATAGGTCTGTTTCAAGCAGAAGGAAGACTTCCCCAGTATTGTCTATCCAGTGATTGGGCTGAAAAAGTGTAAGTTAGTAGAAGTCAAAAGGTGAGATCAGGGTCTGATCTGTGTTGGGCGGTTCTGAACACAGACAAGAACTGTACAAACACCTGTATTCACATGGCTGTGTCATATCTTACCTAGCATCTTAGTCCAGAAAGTTTATGCTCACCCTGGTTGATGCCTGAACAAACGTGGTATCATTGTTCAGCAGAAAAGTACAGTCAAGGGGAGTATTGTAATTTCTGTGAATAGCAATAAATACATGCGAGTGTTACATTGAAGTAGAATTCCTGCATGGCCATAACTATTCTTAAAAATGTCCCTACCCCCTCCTACTACCTATCCTGAATACTCTTTGTAAAAAAGATCTGTATAATTACCATATTTCATCCCTCTCCAGTCCAGCACGAATTCCAAAAAATATTATTGCTCAGGCTTCAGAGAATAATATACAGTTTCACAGAATGCCTTTTGTCAGCTTGATGTGTTCCACATCCACCTTTTCAATAATGCTTCCCAATCTACTAAATATATATAACTATTTAGGTACCCAAGAAGTCATTGATGGAGTCTCACTTTTTTGTTTAGTCCATAGGCTGTACACCTGAGATGTAATGCTGTGGATATACCATTCATTCTCAGTTTACATTGCTTTATTTTTTTATACAAACCAAAAAAAAACAAAAGGAGTTGACAGTGATATATACAGTACATCGTTACATACAAAATTGCCCAATCCCAATTTGGTGTTAAAACGCAAATGTTTTCATTCAGAGTAGAGGAGCTAATCTTTAATGTGTAAGCTCTCCTTTTCACAAAAAATGACTAGGTAAACTAACACCGTACCCCATCCCCTTACCTCGCACTTATCTTTCTTCTCCTTCTTTCCTTATGGTTTTTAGGACAGATCAAAGCTTTTTAATTGGTCAAAATGGTCACATGCCAGCACGTGACCAATCTGAAACATACTGATCTGTCCTGGAAGGTCCTATAGAAAGAAGGGGAAGAGAAGTAGGGCTTTCAAATCTTCCGAACCACCTCATCGGCTCTGTGGGCAGTGACAGATAATTACCCACAGAGGTAAGTGCAGTGGGGGGGCCAGAGGGTTGGGGAGAGTGTGTGGTGTTAACCTTTGCATTTTTTGTGAAAAGATGAACTTATGCTTTGTAACTAAACTGGTTTATTTGGATACTTTTCCACATATTTTTTTTTTTTTTGTTCTAAATGGGCGTGCACTGTAAACCTAAGGTTACTTTTTGTCAAGGTGGAGTACAAAATATGCAAAATGCACTCTGATGAGTATTATTATAATAATGGATTTACTGTAAATAAGACCAACACTTTGCACATTGATTTTCCAAAATAAACGGCTATTCATATGTCGGTTAGTACAAAAAATGTCAACTGTCCCAACCTATAACCAGCCTTAGCAGGAAGATACACATGGAAGGGCAATGTACATCACAAACAAACAAAGGATTTCCCAGCACACTTACCAGCGAGCCTACAAAACAACCAATTTGGCAATGTCTAACAGTTTGCATTAAAAATAGAGGGTTTTGTTTGAACACATTTGCAAATACATAAGGAAGCTGCAGTCCCGCGTCAAAGGTTCTTTACACTGCAGACCTTACTTTAAAAGTGACAGAGGCCTCCACAGCGCAGTGTTCCACTGTGGAGGTTTCCCTTCACTTCCGGTCCCACAGGAAGTGAGGGGAAATCCCTGCAAATTGAGAGGGAATTCCTTGGGGACTCTAGGGACAACCCAAAAAAAGTTTTTCTTTTTTTTTTTTTTTTTACTTTCAATGATAATGGTAAACAGGACAAATAGGGTGAATTTCCCCAAAATGGGCACACATAGCAATAAAAACTGACAGGTGTTCTAATCCATCTCCATTCTATCCAAAACTAAAAAAAAGTTTTGCCTTTAGTTCTTTAAGGATTTAAACTAGGGAGGTAGATAAATTATACTACATTGCCAAAAGTATTGGTACACCTGCCTTTGCACACACATGGACTTTAACTGCATTCCAGTCTGTCTGCAGGGTTCAATATTGAGTTGGCCCACCCTTTACAGCTATAACAACTTCAGCTCCTCTGGGAAAGCTGTTCGTAAGGTTTAGGAGTGTGTCTATGGGAATGTTTGACCATTGTTCCAATAGCGCATTTGTGAGGTCAGCCACTGATGTCAGTTGAGAAGGCCTGGCTTGCAGTCTCCGCTCTAATTCATCCCAAAGGTGTTCTGTCGGGTAGAGTTCAGGACTCTGTACAGGCCAGTCAAATTCTGCAAACCAAACTCGCTCATCCATGTGTTTATGGACCTTGCTTTGTGCACTGATGCGCAATCATGTTGGAACAGGAGGGGGCCGTCCCCAAACTGTTCCCACAAAGTTGGGAGCATGAAATTGTTCAAAATGTCTTGGTATGCTGACACCTTAAGAGTTCCCTTCACTGGAACTCACTGAGCTTCTGAGAGCGACACATTCTTTCACAAATGTTTGTAGAAGCGGTTTGCATGCCTAGGTGCTTGATTTTATACACCTGTGGCCATGGCGGTGATTGTATCACCAGAATCCAATGATTTGGAGGAGTGTCCCAATACTTTGGCAATATAGTGTATATAACAATATGGTACCAAAAATTCACCAACCTTCTCTCACCATATCTGACTAGGCTAATTAATGAACTTAGGAAGGGATCTCCTCCTAGCCCTGATTCCTTACTGTTAACGGTCTGATTCTTAAACCATGTACAGACCGTACCTCCTAGACTAACTATAATCCTTTTCACTAATAAGCATAGACATCCAACTACAGGCCAAGGTACTTGGTAGATTTTGTGCTCACAGGTCACATTTCTAAAGCCGAGGTAAGGTTCATTCTGGGCAGACAGACAGGCATTACTGCACAACAGATCTTCATTCTTCTCCATAGAGGGCATCAAAGGAAGTGCCCCTCTCCTTGGACATCAAAGAAAGACATTTACAGTATCTCACAGAAGCGAGTTCACCCCTCACATTTTTGTAAACATTTTATTATATCTTTTCATGTGACAACACTGAAGAAATGACTCTTTGCTACAATATAAAGTAGTGAGTGTACATCTTGAATAACAGTGTAAATTTGCTGTCCCCTCAAAATAACTCAACACACAGCCATTAATGTCTAAACCGCTGGCAACAAAAGTGAGTACACCCCTAAGTGAAAATGTCCAAATTGGGCCCAAAGTGTCAATATTTTGTGTGGCCACCATTATTTTCCAGCACTGCTTTAACCCTCTTGGGCATGGAGTTCACCAGAGCTTCACAGGTTGCCACTGGAGTCCTCTTCCACTCCTCCATGACAACATCATGGAGCTGGTGGATGTTAGAGACCTTGCACTCCTCCACCTTCCATTTCAGGAAGCCCCACAGATGCTCAGTAGGGTTTAGGCCTGGAGACATGCTTGGTTCAGTCCATCACCTTTAATCTCAGCTTCTTTAGCAAAGCAGTGGTCATCTTGGAGGTGTGTTTGGGGTCATTATCATGTTGGAATACTACCCTGCGGCCCAGTCTCTGAAAGGAGGGATCATGCTCTACTTCAGTAAGTCACAGTACATGTTGGCATTCAATGTTCCCTTAATGAAGTGTAGCTCCCCAGACCATGCTTGACTGTAGGCAAGATACACTTGTGTTTGTACTTCTCACCTGGTTGCCAGCACACACGCTTGACACAACCTGAACCAAATAAGTTTATCTTGGTCCCATCAGACCATATGATATGGTTCCAGTAATCCATGTCCTTAGTCTGCTTGTCTTCAGCAAACTGTTTGCGGGCTTTCTTGTGCATCATCTTTAGAAGAGGCTTCCTTATGAGACGACAGCCATGCAGACCAATTTGATGCAGTGTGCGGCATATGGTCTGAGCACTGACAGGCTGACCCTCCACCCCTTCAACTTCTGCAGCAATCATACGTCTATTTTCCAAAGACAACCTCTAGATATGATGCTGAGAACGTACACTCAACTTCTTTGGTCGACCATGGTGAGGCCTGTACTGAGTGAAACCTGTCCTGCTAAACCGCTCTATGGTTTTGGTCACCGTGCTGCAGCTCAGTTTCAGGGTCTTGGCAATCTTCATATAGCCTAGGCCATCTTTATGTAGAGCAACAGTTCTTTTTTTTCAGATCCTCAGAGAGTTCTTTGCCATTAGGTGCCATGTTGAACTTCTAGTGACCAGTATGAGAGAGTGAGAGCTATAACACCAAATTTAACTCACCTGCTCCCCATTCACACCTGACACCTTGTAACACTAACAAGTCACATGACACCAGGGAGGGAAAATGGCTAATTGTGCCCTATTTGGACATTTTCACTTAGGGGTGTACTCACTTCTGGGAGATACTATAATTCCCTCTGCTGAGATGACCCACAGATTGTACTGCAACATAGAGAGGTTGGTCATCAGTTTCCTAC